AGTAGCTGCGTGTACACGCAACTACATAGAATCCTCCTCTAGTGTATCATACGAGGTCGTACCAGGGCGTCTGTCCTGGCATAGGTCCCAGAGGTTCTTCTACCACAGGAGTCTCCACGACAAACACGTATTCGTGTGTGTTGTCAGTCTCAAAAGGGGGTGTGCTAGTTGTTCGTCCGGAGCGCTGCTCTGGCAGAGCACGTGTTACCGCCATTCTGAAGTCGTCGCTTCGTGGGTTGGCCTGCCTGCACACTCATAGGGGCGTGAGTGCACTGTGTTCCGTTCTACTCTGTGAACCTCCCCGTCACTAACCCTCCTTGCCGGGGGGACTAGACTTTGGCCTCACCACCAAACAATGACCTGAACGAACACGATATCAGTACCTAACCGGTATTGATTGTGGTACAGCTTGTTTTCATACGGGTAGTATTACATGCACCATGGTCTCGTGGATCCGTCTTCCAGGTACTAGCTAAGAGCAATAGCAAGTAGTAGCCTGGACTCCGGCATACAAAACCTGTGGAGCCCCATTTCTCCTCCCCGCCTCAACAGTTGACTAGTGGTAGACCACCTCAAACCCAGCTCACCGCCCCCCTTCGGAGACCTATCTGGACCATTCCGGGTTTGCACATCAAGCCCACTTGACCCTTGCAGACTCCTCTGGGTTCAAGTCCTCCGGAAGTTGAGTGTGGAGGCTCGAAAAGCCCGTAAGGACACCTCCAACCCTGTAACTTGGTCTCACACAGCCACAAGGTTTTCGGAAGATAACGGCTTCGGCGCCGCCCCTCGACTACCAAGAGTCCAGAGATCCACGGAGTTCCCCGCCATTGGGAGCTTGGAGGACCACCTGTGGCCACCAGTCCCTTCGGCAGGCTGACTTCCTCCTCCGGAAGTCCCTAACAATAGGGCCCCCCTGAGGGCTCCGTCAATGTTCCATGGCTGTCCGGGCTTCCCGTCGTCGAGGCAGCACGCTCCGTTTCGTCACCCACACCCTCTTTCAAGCCTCTTCTGTACCTTTTTCCTGAAAGCCCGCCGTGGGTTCAAACAAGACCTTTTGACAGGCTGTGGAGTCCTCCCCCTAGTCCCTTGGTAGGTTCGACGACACATGTCATTCCTACCCTGCAACAACTGGAGTTGACTACCTCACAATCCCGCAACCTTCCTTGTGAAACTCCTTGAGGACTTGGACTGTTGAGGCGGGAGATACAATCTCCGTCTCGACCTCATACTGCCCCCTAGTTGTGGTTAGAGGCCCCTCCTTCCAGTGACCTCCAGCAGTTGTTTGAGGTGTCACCGTTTCGGGGCCCCACCTACTCTAGGCGGGGTCTTTACGACTTCCGAGACCCACCAACTCCCTGAAGTACAACTGTGCAGAGTAGTTGCAACGCACCTTCAGCCTTGTCATGGCATTCCTCACCGTCTGGCCCTAACCACCAAGGGGAAAAATTTTTCCCCCTAGTCTCCCCACACACGGTTAATGTCCTCGTAGTGTATGAGTCGAGGGCCCTTTCAAAAAAAAATGAGAGTTCCATGGCTTTTCCTCCAGTCCGGCTAAAGCTTGGAATCTAACTCCTCTAGTTACGCCTAAGGCAGTACCCACACATTGCTTGCTAGTGCGAAAAATGAGAGCCGGTTCGCTAGGACCTCCCCGGATCCCTCATGCGAAAGGTCGAAGATGTACACAAACATCTTGAACCCTTCCGCAAACTGGCCCAAGGGTGCATCAATGACACCCTCCACGTGGAGGTTAAGACTCCGGTACTAAGAGTCGTCTCTTTAGGCTACTGAAAGTGAGGTGCAGCCCTTACTCAGGAAATGGTTCACTTCATCAAAGTTCATAGAGTCCCAGAACAAGGCTCACTCCCTTGTTTACCGCGACTCCTACCAAGCCTCTTAGCCTCGTCGTTCCTCGCCACCCGCCTGTCAAGCCGAAAATGGCGTGGCACACTGCCTTTTCCCTCGACTCGGTCTTCCGTTTCGAGAGACAGATTGGCGCGGTAAAGACAAGGATGGGAGTGGACGTACCGAGTACTTCCTACCCAGTACTGGCTTTCTGCTCCTAACGCCCATGTTCGCTTGGCTCTACCCGAGAGACGACCTTGAAGATGGAGACGCTGGGCTGGTGTCTATTCGTCCCTCTTTCTAACGTACCTACCACAAGACATTGTACTCTCTTTCCACTACCTCGGGAACAAGGATAGTGGTTTTTCAGTAAAGTGCAGATGATTTCGAGTCAATGTCCTGAATATTAAGTCAAATAACGATCCATTTATGAATATGACTGATAACCACTGACATCCTGTGGGTGGACCCAAGTATGGAGTCGTTTAGACCTTCTCCTTTCTGACTCAGTAAGAGCTCAGATACACGAAAAAACAGTAGTAAAGGGTTAGGCCGGACCAGATTAACCGAGAAAAAACCCTAACCTCCATAAGTTTCTTGTTGGGTTTTTTGTAAAAAAGGTCGGTTTTATTTTACACTGTGGTTAGATAAATTATATATTTCCCTCTGGGTATTCATTTCAGTAACAACACAAAACAACATGGAGCCATCCCCGATAGAGCCTTTGATTTGTAAAAACGACGATCTGATATACATGTCCAGAAGAAAATCCACCGAAATAAACAGTCACACACAACAAGTGTACACACGCATACGGAGACGTAGGTAGTCACGTCACACCTACCAACGTCTTACCAATTTACACACTCGTGACATACAGACCCTTCTCGAAGACGGATTCCACTTGGAGGGGAGTGATTGGGAGGAACGGCCCCCCTGATCTGAACCGGAGTGGTGGTTTGTTACTGGACTTCTGTGCTAGTCATGGATTGGCCATAACAAACACCATGTTCGAACATAAGGATGCTCATAAGTGTACGTGGTACCAGAGCACCCTAGGCAGAAGGTCCATGATCGATTTCGTTATCTTATCATCGGACCTGAGGCCGTATGTTTTGGACACTCGGGTAAAGAGAGGGGCGGAGTTGTCAACTGATCACCATCTGGTGGTGAGTTGGGTCGAGTGGCGGGGGAAGCCTCTGGATAGACCTGGTAAGCCCAAACGTGTAGTTCGGGTGAACTGGGAACGTCTGGAGGAGGCCCAAGTTCAGGAGGCCTTCAACTCACACCTCCGGCGGAGCTTTTCGGGCATTCCTGTGGAGGTTGGGGACATTGAACCAGAGTGGTCGGTGTTCAAAGCCTCTATTGCCGAAGCCGCGGCGGGGAGCTGTGGTCTCAAGGTCCTAGGTGCCTCAAGGGGCGGTAACCCTCGAACCTCCTGGTGGACACCGGTGGTCAGGGAAGCCGTCCGACTGAAGAAGGAGGCCTTCAGGGATTTGTTATCCCGGGGGACTCCCGAGCAGTGCAAGGTACCGACAGGCCCGAAGGGCAGCAGCCTCAGCCGTGGCCGAGGCAAAGCAGCGGGTGTGGGAGAAGTTCG